TATATATATATATATATATATATATATATATATATATATATATATATATAATTCCATCATTTTAAGAGGGGGAAGGATTGGAAATATAAAATATTTTAAAAGAAGATAGGATTGGAAATATGAAATCAAGGGTAGAATGGAAATAAAAAGATAGTATGTATGCTGTTAAAACCAAGATCTAATTCGATGTGACAAATCCATTTATTGGTTTCTTCACTGCTTTGATCTGATTGCATTGGAAAAACATAACGTTCAGGTTTCAGGGGTTAACCGTTAACCCATTACTGCATTCACGAGTCGCAACCACATGGAGTGGTCCCAACACTTCAACTCGCAGAAACTCCTTATATATTGGTTGAGTCCACAAACAGGCATCTTTTTTACAGAACTTTTGAAAACTTGAACCAACAATCGCTTCCAGAGAACTCTCGACTACCATAATGATTTACAATGAAGGCCGAAAGGAGTCGAGTAATAACAAATGGGAAAACTTACTATTTAATTACTATGCAACCTTTTGGCTACTAGAAAGAGTGGTAGTAATAGGTACTCCCCCCCCTGATGTTGCGCAATGGAGGAGGCTACAGTCTGCTCTTCTTGACAGGTCCCATCTCCTTAGCTTTCTTTCTCAGCAGATGCTTCTGTACCTTCCCTGTGGATGTCTTGGGCAGAGGCCCAAAGAGTATAGATTTTGGAATCCAATAAGCTGGAAGCTTCTTACGGCAGAACTTCATTATATCCTCGGCCATATGTTGTTGGTCTGATCCACCATCATCCATGCCAGGCTTTAATGTCACAAAGGCACAAGGCGACTCTCCCCACCTCTCGTCTGGCCTTGCCACCACGGCCACCTCTAAGACTGCAGGGTGGTGGTACAGAGCACTCTCCACCTCCAAGCTGCTAATGTTTTCACCTCCAGATATAATGATGTCCTTCGCCCTGTCCTTAACCTCTATGTACCCATCTGGATGCTTCACGCCGAGGTCCCCAGAATGGTACCAACCCCCATGAAAAGCCTCTTCGTTGGCCTTGGGGTTGTTTAAGTAGCCCTTCATTACACTATTCCCACGCATCACAATTTCTCCAAGACTAGTACCATCAGCAGGGACGGGTGCCATGGTTTTTGGGTCGACAACATCCAGGCCCTCCATACCAACGTAGCGTACACCCTGGCGGGCATTGAGGCGGGCTTGGGTTTCAGGGGGAAGAGAGTCCCACTCAGGCTTCCATGCACATACTGTGGAAGGTCCATAGGTCTCAGAGAGACCATAAGTGTGGGTGACACGGAAACCAAGCTGGGTCATTGCAAACAGAACAGATGGAGGTGGTGCTGCACCGGCTGTCATCACACGGACGAGGCGAGGAAGAGGGAGGATGGCTTCATCTTTACGAGCATTTGCTATGGTGTTGAGTACTACAGGTGCAGCACAGAAGTGGGTAACCCCTTGGTTGGCTATGGCAGAGTAGACAGATTTGGCTGTAACCTGTTACAAAAGTAAAAAGAACTCAGACCACTAATGAGGAAAATTCCAGAAAGAAATAGGAAATTGGTCGTGTCCCGAGTTAATCAAGAAATTTGAATGTTCTACTGATTCTTGTGTCCCGAGCAAGGTTCAAAATATGTTACGTATCGACCAATACATATCATTCTGGGACCCTTCCGATACGCCCTTATCTGACCGGTTCAGGAGATGGAGGGATCCTAAACCGGCTCCCCTGAACTAGTTTTGAAACTTGGTCTCGAGTTAAAATAAATAAAAACTTTTAACCTCCAACCCAAGACGGCAAGACCATAATTGGCTTAAAAGGTAAGAGCATACGACATTATGACATGAGGTGCATGCCTTTTTGTAAGCACCTTAGGTGTATATGTGACTCTCCTATATGTGGTAGTTGTTAATTACTTAATTTATTCGGTTCAGTATAAGGTAATGTAAGCATGGTACAGTACAAAAAGTATACATAACCAGGAATGCATTAAAGTCCCATTCACACAAAAATAATCTTAATAAGGGCCTTTATTTTTTAAGTAACAGTGACTAACTAAAAAGATGTACAAACTAGTCAGGACCCGTGAGAGCTTTATTTATAAGCAAATATTTTTGAAAAATATTTATTTATTAATTTTTATTGGTTTGTTATTATTTTTGTATTATTTTTAGGCAAAATTATAGAAAACATCTAAATAACAATACTACAAACCACCTTTGTGTTTTGACGCTACCAATGGCCTCCCCTATAGTTTTGAAAAAAAAGTGCAAATACCTCCTTTCCCTTGGCTTTTCAATTACAAAGACATTAAAGTTACCAAAATAACCTTATCATTGTTATTGCATTGTCATATACAATCTAAAGTTTCAACTTTACCCTCCACTAATTTATTTTGCTAGACACTCCTTACTCTTCTTGGACAAAGTAAGGCAAAATAGCTGAAGAAGTGAAATTAATGCATTATATTAACATTTTTTATTTGGAATGATGACAAAAGGAAGGCTATTTGCACCTTTTATCTAAACAATAGGGGGGGTTTTGTTAAGGCCAAAAGACTGGAATTTTGTATTAAAAAAACCACTGTGGAGATTCATAGGATTGTTAGAAAACCGAAGGAAATTTCCTTGGTCATAGGTCATAGGTGGGTGTTCATAAATTTCACAGCAGGCAAAATACTAGCTTTTCATTTTTAATTTTTATATACAAAAACAAAAAATGTATATATGTTTTATTCAAAGCAAAAACAGGGGTGCTTTAATCAACACTCAAATCAAAAAATGTCCCAACTGCCAGACATGGGTTAATTAAGCCTGGTATTATGTTGCTAAATCATGGACTGGGTTCAGATGATTCTACATCTTGCAGGTAGAAGCAGCTATTTTTCTTGCATAAAAACCAAATATCACTGAAAATAACTTCACAGACTGGATTCAGAAGTTTAATTCCCATGCAATAGGGTGCACAGATCATGAATTATGTATACATCCTAGCTGATGCCTCAATCAATAAATCGCATCTCTTTTCATCAAAAGATGGCAAAGACAACCACAAGTACTACTAGGAAACAGACATGTTCTGAAGCAACATATGCCTCCGGATGACCTAACTTCAGAAGTTAACTACATTACTATAAGAATTGAGAAGCACTAGACTTATTAAATTATGCATGATTATTCTGTATATCCACATACCTGGCGAAGACAAATGTTTGTCCCACAGAGAGCTGCAAGTGCCCAAGTGAAGCACCACCCATTGCAGTGAAACATGGGAAGAGTCCAGAGGTACACAGCCCCTTCACTTAACCCCCATATGACGCAATCACTCAAAGCCATGATATATGCCCCCCGGTGGCTCAACACAACCCCCTTTGGGCTGGATGTCGTTCCAGAGGTATAACCCAAAGCAATGCTCTGCCACTCATCCTTTGGTGGTCTCCAAGCAAACTCAGGGTCACCACCTTCCAAAAACTTCTCATATTCTATAGCCCCTTTATCTAGAGCATATTTTAGTGCCCTAGGATCACAATTTTCATCACCTATGACAATCATAAGTGGAGGTCTAAAGTTGCCTTGGCTTTTCCCTGCTAAAATCTTCAAGGCTTCATCTGCCAAGGAAAAATATTCTTGGTCCACCATAACAGCAGCAGCAGAACAATGCCCCAGAAGAAAAGCAACAGTTTGTGCATTTAAGCGAATGTTGACACAGTTTACCACAGCTCCAGCCATTGGAACTCCAAAGTGAGCCTCATATATGGCTGGGACATTTGGTGCAATTACAGCTACCTGCCAGAATGAGAAAAGAGAAAGGATTCCATTACACCGTCAACTTGGATTTTATACAGAAAATCAGGAAAATGGCCAATAGGCTAAACACAAGGAAAAAATTGGGGGAATTTTGCTCTTGTAATTTTATTTACATCATATGCATTCTTGGAAAGCTCACACATAATAGTTTCACAACTTTCATCATAATTCCAGAAAAAAGAGTCAGATAAAATTGGCATAAATTACAAGTTATTAAATTTATCAGAATAAGACACCACCCTGTTTCTCATGAATAAGATATTTGGACAGAGTCATCAGAAAGCACAATGTATAACAGTGCTGCTACAAAGCTTAAGACTAGCATTGTTATATGGGAAAGAATGCTGGGAAATCAAGAAACATGTTGGAAATTTTGAAAAAAACAAGAAGTTTACCTGAGTGGATGAATGAGCAGAGTTAGAAATGTGTACATTAAAGAGAACTTAGGAGTAGACCCACTTGGTGACAAGATGAGGAAAGCATGACCAATGACCACGCCAGAGAGAAGGATAGGGATGCTCACGGTTCAGTTAACTGAACCATGGGCTTTTTCGTTTTTTGAAAACAAACCAGCCCTTCAGTTTTTGTAAAATCCCAAACCAAGGTCAAACCTAAATCAATGTGTTAACTGGTTTATAGGTTTGGTTTTTGATTGGTTCATCTCTTCATTTTTTATATTTATAATATATATTATAAATATAATATGTATTTATATAATACAAATATAATATGTATTTATATAATACAAATATAATATGTATTATAAATATATATATACACCAGTTAGTTCGGTTAACCGTAGGTTTTTCTTTTAGGTTAACCAAAACCAAATGTTAACCAGATTTTTCAGTTAAGATCAGTTTTCCAGTTTTTGATGAGCACCCCTAGAGAAGGAAAGACTTTAAAAGAACAAAAGGAAGACTGATTGCACTGAGCTGAAGTGGTAAGAAGTTATCTAAGAACTTACAAATTTGCTAAAAAATATAGCCCTTGTTCATAGGGGCAGAGCCCAACCCAGCCCTCCCTCTCTCTCCCTCTCCCTTTCCCCCTCTTATCAGGTTGGATCCAGGTCTACCCTGACCCAAACCAGACAAGACCCATTGACAGCACGATATACCCACCAATAAAAAGGCCCTTTTTATATGTAGGGAATAATTGGATGTGGACCCTAAAGTATTGAATCCAGGTTCCACCTTTCTATGTTCACACCTTAAGTGCTAATGTGTTATTTGGTATTACATATTACATTTTACACATCACACATTACAAGGGGATTAGGGGGCCAAGACAGAGCTGGTTTAGATGAGGTCCACTAGGCACTAACCTTACCACAAAGAGCCTTTAGTTACACAGGTTTGATCCTGTGCCTCCATATTTGAAACTTGAAAGGACACTGAGTGGCAATCTCAGATACTGGGTCATTGGCAATCCAGTGTTTTGTTCAGTCCGAACAAAATGATATTAACTGAAAAATGGAGGATTGATCAAAATCTAAGAATATAGTGGTTTATTTGGCTTCCAAATGCACGAACTTTGATTTACTTCTTTCCCTAGTGAAGCAAAAATTTCCCCAAGTCTGCAATTTTGATATTGGCAGAAACAGTTAAAGCCCTACTTTTCATTTGAGAAGCACTCAGTCACATCAACTGTGTGATCAATTAAATTACAAGAATATGAGGAGATGAGTAATTTGAAGGCTAGATTAGTTAGAAACTAGTATAGCTCAGAATCCCCTAGTTATTCAAGCACAACAAAACACATTAGGCTCTTTGATATTAGTAAGTATAACTCAAGGAATTCTGAATTTGGTTAAGTTATTTATCAGACATTCTTCATTAATGACACCCTGGAAAAAGTAAGCTTTAAGGTAAATCTACAGATACCCAAGATAGTGCTAAATCCTATTTATTCCAAACTTTTTGGTTAACTTATTTTCATGGGCAATCTTCAATAATGTTATAATGGCATTTCGCAAGAGGAATCTAAGATGGTGCTACATCCTATTTATCTATTCATATTTACAGGCTCATTCCATATGCAAATGATATCTTGGCATGTGATTTGTACAACCAAGAATATTTAGATCACATATTTCAAGTCAGATCACGAGAGCTCTCAAGGCCAAGAGTCTGCAAATCCATAAAATAAGAAAATTAATACATAAATCTAGAAATGGCAGAAATGAATCAAATTTTAAAAAATCTCATACAGGGCAAAATAAGCTTCATTGAGATATAACGTTATTAGGTTCAGTTATAAATTTATAATCATTTGACTCTCAGATGTCTTTTTTTTTTTTTTGAAAGAAGGTAAAGTATGATTGTAACATCTCAAAGCCTGTGCTCAGGTAGTCAGGTTTTTAGAGTTAATTGGTTCTTGTACTATTCTGTTTCAGATATAATGATATAGCATGAATAAAAAACGAGTGACTTCTTACCAACTCCTCACATCTCATGGTTTTGCAGAAAAAAGATTACCTTATATGCATTTCATTTACGTAAATTGTCATGACTGATTAGACCTTTTTACTCGACATGTAGGGTATATGCCTAAAGATTCTTAATCGGTAAACATACTTGCCATCAAGACCAGTATTTCTAAACATTTCCAAATTCAAGACAAGCCATCGGTAGATTAACAAATAAGTGATCCTCAAAGAAAAAGTGATACATGGAAAAAGATCGGAAGACGCAAAGAATATGAAGAATACATGCATAAAACAGAGCAGCTATCGATGCCAGATCGGCACCATTTGGTTCTTTAAATTTTCTCATAAAATAACTAGTAAAACCAAAACATCGTAACATCATTAAAAAATTAATGTACATAACAAGTAATTAACAAAAGAAGAATGTTCAAGAAGAAAAGAATGGACAGATATAGGCCAGTTCACAAGAACTAACAGAAACAGGAAGGAAAGAATCCAAGTCCGTAACATCATTCAAAGATTAATATACATAACAAGTAAATAACAAAAGAAGAATGTTAAAGAAGAAAAGAATGGAAAGATATAGGCCAGGTCACAAGAATTAACAGAAACAGGAAGGAGAGAATCCAAGTTAGCCGAATTAAGCTCACCGTCTTTCCAAGGCCGATCGAATGCTTAGAAAGCGCCGAAGCCATGCGTCTGCAACGCTGATAAGTCTGAAGCCACGTATACTGCAACCGTCCATGAATGATCGATTTCCTCTGTGGATGGACTAGAGCTGCTCTCTCCAGAAACCAGAGTGGGGTTAGGGCAGTGTAGTTGGCATCGTTCTTCGGAAGATTGTCGATGTCTCCTTCTCCCGCCATTGACGAATTTATTGTCTTTCGCCCTCCTCTCTCACCCTCACCCTCACCCTCACCCTCACTCTCTCTCTCTCTCTCTCTCTCTGACTCTTGCTGTGACTGTGACTGTGACTTGCTTGACCCCTCCTTATTTACCTACTTATATAGCTCGCTGCTCGCAAAGTCGCAATTCTCTCTCTCTCTCTCTCTCTCTCTCCATCTCTCTCCCCATTCTTACTCTCATGCGGTGTCTTCATTTCTTTTCTTTTTTTTTTTTTGGTATTTTGTGTCTTCATTTCTTTTCTTTTCTTTTTTTTTTGGTATTTTGTGTCATCATTTTCCAGAATGGAAAATTTTGAATGGAATCCTCAATCCTGGACGCTAGATAAACACTAACTGCACGGCTGCACGTGCACGTTTCGAGGAAGCTAGTCAAGCTACGTCCATTTCTTCTCCTTCTCTTCTCTGATTCTCTATCTGTTTCTCTTTGTGAGTGTGGGTCCGGTAGTCGGATCGTATAGCGAACAAGGCTAAACTGAACGTCTTAAGGAATTTTCCACGTCGAAATTAATTTGAAAAACCCCTCCTACGTGTACGTGGTTAGAAAAAACCCACTTTATTAGTAGAGACAATTAAGAAAGTAGCAGACAGTAGAATCTGTCTTTCTATCCTCCACGTGGCAGAAGTATGGCAGATGGTGTAGGTAAAATCCATATACGGCCCGCTTAGAGATTTTTTTTCTTAATTAATTTTGTATGGATGCAGTGGGCCACGGCCAAGCCCACCGAATTTTGATTCCGAGACATTTTTTGTGAGCATAGTTCCTGGCAAAAGCGAAAGGCAAATTGACTTCAGACTGACTGAATTGGACCAAACTGTAATACCATTGATTGTGGGCTATATGAAATTGAATTGAACTTCATCACCGGCAAAGCATGGCACGCCCATTGCGTAGACCAGAGATCGGATCTGCTCCTCACTAAAAGCGCCTCACACGCGTCTCATAATCACATCACTTTTAAGTTATTATTTAAGGGAGATGTTCCCAATGCATGATGGATGTGCATGCGAGGCGCCCGAGTGTGAGGAACAGATCCCATCTCAGACAATTAGTAACAATAATTGATCCAACACAACCCATTTGTAGGCCCAGATGAGATGCATACTTATAAGGGTAATTTGGGTATTAAAAACAATTGGTAAAAGTAGATATCCAAATTCACATTAATCGAGTGGGGAAAAAAGGGTGAAACTATGCCATGTGGCGTGTGCAATGCATTGTAAAGCCTTGACGTCGGAGCTTACGTCTAGAGTGACATCAGTGATAAGCCATTAAACCCCCTCGTTCAGATAAGACTGTATGCCCTGTCAGATCTATGTGTGGCCAAATAATAGATAATAAATAATACAATCAAATTACGTATTGTCGCCAAACATTTAGGGTTTTAGGTATTATTATTTTTTTTGAAAGCCAGGGTTTTAGTCCAAAATGGAAAATATAATATATATATATATATATATATATATATATATATATAACTATGATATGGAAAAGATATGATATCTGAAAAATTTTTACGTAATGAATTGGAATCATAAATGTGATAGCCAATCAAGTGTTATTTATCAAAATTCATGCATAGATTTTGATTGGTCAAAACTCTTTTTATACTATATCTTTTCTGCATCATAGAATTTCCCATATATATTATGTATTGTGGTTGTTTGTAGATTAAGCTGCATTTTGGCAAGGTTTTTCTTTACAAACATTTTTGCCCAAATATATATATTTTATCCTCACACACTCATTAAAGCCTTTTTGTAATTGTGTATTTGGAATATCTCTATATTTGTAGATTTTTTTCATAGGGAGATATTCCTAATACACACTTGCGAGGGTTGTGAACATGTAATAAGTGATTCAGTTTTTCAGGCTTTTAAAAATATGTTTATAGATTATTTATTAGTAAAATTTTCAATAGTACACTGTACTTTGGGTCTAGTGCCATGTGGGTATCCAAACTTTAAAATGCAACAATTCAGTATCCAAACTTGTAAAATGTGCCAATTTATTACCTCCTGTTGATCTGTATGTTAATCAACTGTTATTTAACAGTTGGAAAAACACAAATACCCTTTGAGTGTCATCTAATTCTCTTTTATCAACCATCCAAACATTGACAAAAAATAACAGTCCCAAATTCTTGCCTCTTTTATTCAAAAAAATTGGGGTTACCAAAATGCCCAGTAAGACATAACCCCAACTTTTTTAAATAAAAGAGACAAGAATATGTGACTGTTTATTTTTTGACAGCATTTGGATGATTGATAAAGACAATTAGATGACACTCAAAGGATATTTGTATCTTTTCAAATGCCACTAAATAGATGGTTAACAGGTTAATTAACAATAGACACTAGATTAACACATTTTGAGAGTATAAATAATGAATTGTCACATTTTAAAGTTTAAAGACCAAAGTGAGAATAGACCCAAATTATGGGATATTAAATCAATAATTTTTCTTATTTATTAAGTAAAAAGATAAAAAAATCTTTATTTAAAGCTTTACAAACGCAACCTAATTACTTCCATTTAGGGATATCAACGAACCCGTGCCGAACCCGACCCGTTGATATTCCTACTTCGGTAACATCCCTATGCTATGCTATTGTTAATTGATGGATGTTTGCTTTAATGAGGAAAGTAATGAATATACCGAAAAGAAAGATGTCCGTATATTCGCTTAGGTGTAATGCGTCCTGGCCATGAAATCTGTGGGCCCCACTCAGTGTGTACTGTATACAAACACTCAAATAGCTGATGATGGTGATTGGTGAGCCGATGGTGACGGGATCTGCTCCTCACAAATGAGCGCCTCACATGTACATCCACCGTGCAATAGGATGAGCGTGTGAGGCGCCCGTAAGGCGCTCAGAGTGAGGAGCAGATCCGGTCTGGAGCCGATGATCTCGACCGACCCCCGCTTCAACTTGAGCCAAACGTAGAATGATGGCAATACTAGTCTAGTCCTACTCGTGACTTGACTCTTTTGGTTTTGGTCGCCACCAAATGTAGCACACGTCACATCCTCCTCACTTCACATGGCTAATTCATGGCAGATGGGTGGGCCTTGCGCCTTGGGAGTTGGGACCGTTAGTTCTTATGGTACTGTTGCTGCTTTTGCAAACTGCGGGCACAGAATGCAGGATATAAAACAGGCCATCCACATATAGGAAACCCTATCAACCGGCTGGGCCTGGGCTAGTCATTGTTGTCATCTGGTAAGGAGTAAGGACACTTCGAATCCTTCCAAGGAGGACGACTACATCACGGCATTTATTGTTGTTTCTAGGATTTTGTCTGGACATCTCTCAATCAGAGAACTGAGAGAGACCTACGATATTTGACGTACCAGGTTCAGGTTCTGAGGTTGATCAGTCAGTACTCAGTAGTCACCCCTCTCCAGTTGCCACCTGCACTGCTTCACCAAAAAAATGTTTGTCTTTATGCGTAAGGCCGCCCGGTCGGGGATTACCGAATACCGATTGCCAATGTAGAATGAATCTGTGGGAAGGGTCTCGCTCTCGCAGCTGCTTTTCAAAACCACATGACAATGGCAGCAGAGCTTGGGTATTAGAGCCCATCAGATAAGGAGATCACAGTGATGCTGGTCCCACCTAATACATTTGGCTGGTTCCTTGAACATTTATATTTTGCAAAAAATGAAATCGTAATTTAGGAAGTAATGGGATCCTTCTGGTCTTCTAGATATATTTTGGCACTTCTCTACCGCTCGCTTCCCCTCCTATGAAAATACATGACGTGGCAGATCTTGTATCACATACAATGTATAAATCGGGCCATGCCATGCGTGCAGTCCATGCAAAGCGTAGGTCGGTTTGTGCTTTCCTCCTATGGGATATTTTAAGGGTCAGTCTGGTATGGCCTACGGCTTGAGTTTGTGCAGACTCAGGCCAGGCTAGGTGGGTTGTGGGCCATGTAGTGGGCCTGGCCCGTGTCAGGCTGGGCTATGGGTTATGCCTTGGGCCTAAGCTGAAAGATGCCAAACTATTTTTTTTTCTTTTTTGATATTTTGATATTTTTTATTTTTTGATAAAATAATTCACTTTTCTTAATTCAATAAATCCTTTGAGCTTGGAACAAATAGGAAAAAATAAAAAATCTAACAAAGAAATTAAAAAAATACTTAAATACTTAACAAAATATAAAATGGACAACAAATTGGAAAAAATAGGAATTTTACTTATTGAATTTGAATAATGCAATGGTCAATGGACAATATATGAATGAAATAAAATATAAAAAATATAATACAATTATAAATTGAAAATAAAATATTACATTGTTGAAAAAATAAGAACTAATATAAATAAAATTGAAAAAAAAGTATAATAATTTTAAAAATTGAAAAAAAATACAATAACTAAAATAATAAAATGTTGTATACAAACGAATAAAAAATATTGATTTCATCATTTTTCTTCAATTTCCACCTCCACCTACATTTTCATCTAATCACCTCATTGATTGTCATCAGATGCTTCAAGTGGAACATCAAGTGTAATGTCTTATCTTGTAGTCTATCTTCAACATCCAACCAATTTTTAAGGCAAATGCACATCTTCGGACTTTTTATCACTTATATAGCTTCACTTGTCATCTAGCACCCTAGTACCTACACTAAAATAAGACTCCAATGGAATTATAAACATAAAAGGGATTAATACATCACATGTCATGGCGGCAAGGACTATATAGTTTTTTTCATGTCCTTTCCACGAAGCTAAAATATCAAAATTATCTCACCCCTTATTGAATTGTTGTCACAAGAACCAATTAAAATAGAAGCACTTGCTTGTAAATAAAAATTAAGTTTCGTAAATGAACTTGTTGATGAACTAGTAGTAGATTTCTGCATCTTATGCGGTAGAGATAGAATTTTGTTTCTACTACTGGAAATGAAACTAGCTATTTTAGAAGTAGAACTTGCACCTATATAAGATTTCTTATACCCACCCACTTGAGATTCATATAAACTATACATTTCACAATATGATTCAAGTAAAATTTCTAAACAATATT